GGGCTGCGATTGGCTCACTATTAATTCGAAAATAAAGGTATTCGATTTCGCCTGAAGACGACGGTTGTAAACTGTTGAAAGTACTAGCGAGCACGTCTGAAATTTAACAAATCGCTGTCAATAACGCTGCAACACGGAAGTGTCAAATTTTTAATTTATCAGATATTTTATTTGTTACAACCCAAATGGGTTATTTGATTTAAATTTAAAATTCATCCATTATTTGAAATATCAAATTAATTCTTTGTATACTTTTTTTACTTACCAATTACAGTCGAACCCCCTATAACACTGTTGATAATTCCATTTTATATGAATTCCATGTTGTAGGAGTCACTTAGATTTTACAAATACGTGTGTCAGGCTGTGAACAGCTCACATATTTGTAAAATCTAAGTGACTCGTACAACATGGAATTCATATAAAATGGAATTATCAACAGTGTTGTAGGGGGGGGTCGACTGTATTCATTGATTCTGATACAAAGAAATTGTGTAAGTTAAAAATAAGAAATATATAGCAAAATAGCATTTTCTTTTGTTCTATTTTTTTAATTGTAATAGTTATTAATTGCAAAATATTATCTAAAATTTATTAAACAGAGAATTTCATTTTGTAAATTGAAGTATTTTTATAGATTACTTGTTTGATATTAATTTGTGTCAAATTCATCTATCATAAAGTAACATAAAAAAAAAAGACTTTTCAAAAAATTTAGTGTTCAGTTCATTTCTTGCAATTTCTTCATTTTTTCTGCATAATAACAGGTGTTTCTGTTAGAATTTCATAAGTATAATTTACATATACATTTAGTATTTAGTAATTTTTGTAAAATTGTATACAAATACAATACTTATGTTGATAAATAGGGACTGATTGAAATGTTATAATATTTTATTTTAGATATCTAGATATTTTATTCTAGACTCTGTAAACATTACTTTGAATAGTATGTCAACTGTATTCAAATTATGGTATAAAATATTAAAAACCAAAATGTTTAAAATAAAGAAAAATATTATTTTTATGATCTACAATAATAATTACAAACTAAATATAGTGTGTGTCCCAGAAGTCTTTCCCTGATTACAAATATGCAGAAGGCAGAAAATATGACAAATAGATACATATCTTCTATCTTGAATTGCAGGTAACATATTCAAGTTTTTGTGTGTACATACATACTCACTGTTACTTTGTTTGTTACAGAACAATCACAGCCAATACCTATCTTGATATATTGTAGTTATTTGTTGTGCAACAGATTCAGGACATTCTGGACTTAGTTTTCCAACAAGATGGTGCATCATCTCATTGGGGTTAGATGTTCATACCTATTTGGATACAGCATTTCCAGGAAGATGGATTGTGCATGGTGGTCCCATTAACTGGCCTCTGCAATCACTGGACATAACACCACTGAATGTCTTCCTTTGAGGTTATGTCAAGGACCAGGTTTACCAAACACCAGTGAACGACACAAAATTACTGATGTCATAACATCCATCCCTCACAATATGTTGACCAACACATGGGTGAAATTGGAAAATCGCCTGGATATACTTCAAGCAACAAAAGGAGCACACGTCGAAATTTATTAATGAGTATGTATGTACACACAAAAACTTGAATATATTACCTGCAATTCAAGATAAAAGATATGTGTCTATGTGTCATATTTTCTGCCTTCTGCATGTTTGTAATCAGGGAAAGACTTCTGGGACATCCTGTATAATTAATAGATGAAATTAATTTTAAAAAGTGATAAATTTTAACAAGTCAAAATATTTATTATATAAATATATTTTTATGTAATTATTTAACAACAGAATATTATATTTATATCTACTTAATCTTACATATTTCAAAAATAGAGTCTGTTTATTGTAATCATAGATACTTGTCATTAGTGATTTAATGTTATCAATGTCTCAAAATATGTTAGTTTGTAATAACAGTAATTATAATTAATAAATCTTCAAATTACACATTCTTTAACAGCTTTAACATATATTAGTATCTTTTAATGTCATTTAAACCAAAATTTCATCTAATTATGGTCTTATTCATTTACTCTGCTTAATGTTAACATTTTGTTATCATCAGCATAGACAGTTCCAAAATGATTACAATAAACAGATTCTACTCTATATTTCCAAAGTTAATTATGTAGACATTTATTAAAATCTTATATTTTCAGAATACATAATACTAAAAAAATTATTATTATAAGCATAATTATGCTGTGTATTTTTAAATTGATCAATATAATATTCAGACTATTTACCATTGCTCATTCCTTCTAAAGACGGTACAAAATATTCATCACAAACAACAGCAAGGCCAAGAAACATAAATAGAGATACTAAAATATGAATAATAAGGCCACCATTTCTGCGAACATTATAACTCATCAATGGACGTGGGAATTGCTCAATCGCGGCTGGAGTACAGTTTGGAGTGGAAGATTCTAATTTAGATGACCATGTCGTTTCTGAAATGCATATAAGTAATTATTTTATATTTAGAAAATGTAGTAACACCAAGGAAAGAAAAAATATATATATATACCTTGTATATCCGTTTTAACATTAAGCAAACTTCTCTGATGCCTGAATTCTCCTCCTCGATTCAAAGCAGGGTGAATGGATAAAGAGACAATTATTGAAATAAGAGATATAATGAACAGAAGGCATATTGCTGTTTTCGTCAAAGAGCGCCTCATTTTCCTTTCCACAATCTAAACAACAATAAAATCGAATAATTTAATATATAAAAATATAGAATAAAAGAAACTATCGTACGAGTGTGTATCATTTACATCAGCTACACGCACCACATGCTGTTTGAAATAGATGCAAAAATTGTCACGTGGATTAACTTATTTATAATTCTGATGTACACGAGATGTCGCTATAGTTTGACGGTCGCATTTTTTTATATTTTTATTTTATAAAAATATTTCGTCATAATTTATTTTATAAAACTATAAATTATTTTAATAATTATAATAAACTAAAATATACTTACTTTAAGACTAATTAATGCTTAAATAAACATAACAAAATAAGTTCAGAAGGATTAGACCACTTTCTTTGGATATATCTTATCTTCTAAGAAATTATATGACTAATTTAGAAACTAAAATATAAAAAAAGTTTACCAGAAATCTTTATAGTGGCGTTGTCATTTTGGAAAGATTATTAACGATCAACTGTTTAGCTGATCTGAACAGGAAAGAAACCTTTCAAACGATGACTACAAAACGGAATGCAACAGACCAATAATAACCTCGTGATGTCGACAGTAAATATCACATGACGATTTTATTTATAACCGGCTTTGAATGATTACATATTCATTAATTGGAACGTACAGATTACTCTATACTCATTGTACAGGCTGTTAGACACTATAGCATTACAATAGGCCTTGTAATAAGAATTTATGCGCAATATAAAATCTATACAATAGTGTAGAATCATTGCTATTTTATTATACTTTTATATTGCTTTTATCCGTGTAGAATAAAATCATACCGTAAGAGTTTCGTAAACGTCACTCCTAATTATATGAAATAAATAAATTGTTTAATAATATAATGTAATAGTAAATACTAATATTTGAAAACTTCGGTATTGCCTTTGTCTCTAATTAAATGCGGTTATGGAAAAAAACTGTTATTTATTTCGTTTTAAACCTTTAAAGTTTTAATATTTTTAAAAGACTTTTTTATTTTTTAAAAGAGAAAAAACCGCACCATAAATATATTTATATATTTTTATTTATACAAGATAAATATTTTAAAGGCTTTTTAATGTAAGTTATAAAAAGCAAACAAGGTCAACTCGTTTAGTGTTAATTAAAACATTTTTTTCGTACAGTACATTGTGTATAGAATATTAATACATTGTAAGATTTTCATTCACAGTTGCGAAAGTTTACAAACATTTATTTATTGTACCCAACGGCATTTTATTTATTATTTCATATATAGAAACATATACGTAGCCTGTAACAAATCATGGAGGGGCTAAAGGGGCCAGCTGAAAAAATTGTGACTGATATTTTTTNTGTAGTAATACCAAGGAAAGAAAATATATATATACCTTGTATATCCGTTTTAACATTAAGCAAACTTCTCTGATGCCTGAATTCTCCTCCTCGATTCAAAGCAGGGTGAATGGATAAAGAGACAATTATTGAAATAAGAGATATAATGAACAGAAGGCATATTGCTGTTTTCGTCAAAGAGCGCCTCATTTTCCTTTCCACAATCTAAACAACAATAAAATCGAATAATTTAATATATAAAAATATAGAATAAAAGAAACTATCGTACGAGTGTGTATCATTTACATCAGCTACACGCACCACATGCTGTTTGAAATAGATGCAAAAATTGTCACGTGGATTAACTTATTTATAATTCTGATGTACACGAGATGTCGCTATAGTTTGACGGTCGCATTTTTTTATATTTTTATTTTATAAAAATATTTCGTCATAATTTATTTTATAAACCTATAAATTATTTTAATAATTATAATAAACTAAAATATACTTACTTTAAGACTAATTAATGCTTAAATAAACATAACAAAATAAGTTCAGAAGGATTAGACCACTTTCTTTGGATATATCTTATCTTCTAAGAAATTATATGACTAATTTAGAAACTAAAATATAAAAAAAGTTTACCAGAAATCTTTATAGTGGCGTTGTCATTTTGGAAAGATTATTAACGATCAACTGTTTAGCTGATCTGAACAGGAAAGAAACCTTTCAAACGATGACTACAAAACGGAATGCAACAGACCAATAATAACCTCGTGATGTCGACAGTAAATATCACATGACGATTTTATTTATAACCGGCTTTGAATGATTACATATTCATTAATTGGAACGTACAGATTACTCTATACTCATTGTACAGGCTGTTAGACACTATAGCATTACAATAGGCCTTGTAATAAGAATTTATGCGCAATATAAAATCTATACAATAGTGTAGAATCATTGCTATTTTATTATACTTTTATATTGCTTTTATCCGTGTAGAATAAAATCATACCGTAAGAGTTTCGTAAACGTCACTCCTAATTATATGAAATAAATAAATTGTTTAATAATATAATGTAATAGTAAATACTAATATTTGAAAACTTCGGTATTGCCTTTGTCTCTAATTAAATGCGGTTATGGAAAAAAACTGTTATTTATTTCGTTTTAAACCTTTAAAGTTTTAATATTTTTAAAAGACTTTTTTATTTTTTAAAAGAGAAAAAACCGCACCATAAATATATTTATATATTTTTATTTATACAAGATAAATATTTTAAAGGCTTTTTAATGTAAGTTATAAAAAGCAAACAAGGTCAACTCGTTTAGTGTTAATTAAAACATTTTTTTCGTACAGTACATTGTGTATAGAATATTAATACATTGTAAGATTTTCATTCACAGTTGCGAAAGTTTACAAACATTTATTTATTGTACCCAACGGCATTTTATTTATTATTTCATATATAGAAACATATACGTAGCCTGTAACAAAGCATAGAGGGGCTAAAGGGGCCAGCTGAAAAAATTGTGACTGATATTTTTTCCGAGCCAGCGCTACACCTATTAGCTACAGTTTGTGTAAAATTGCTGCCGTCAACTGTCTACACAGTGTCCGTATACAGTGCTGACTAAGCTGAAAGTGCTTAGCACGTCATAGCCTTCCGTAGCTATGGGTGTATATAGAAAATATATAATTATATACAGTATCTACTAGAATAATTGGTTAGTCGATTTGATGGGATACGGCAACATAGCACATGGGCGATCTGTCAAGGCACTGATTCCTGTTTAGGCATTAGACACACGAAGAAAACCTGGACCACGTGGCCAGCCCGTTGGTCAGGTGTGAACCCGCTACAAAGTATTCGGTGTTTTTATCCACTCGGCCCCTGGTGGACTCATAAGAGAAATAAAAATATAAAAAAGGTCATTTTGAACATATTAAATAAATAAATGACACATGTAAAATTATATTTTTAATTTATGCCTATATTTATGGATATAGATTTTTGGGATACTTTGAATATTTATTGTGTTAACGAAGGTAAGTCAATATTAATTGCTATTATTTTGTCCAGTAATAATGTTAAAAAGAAAATACTGTACAGTATTTCACAAATGCGCTCTAAGAAACACTTCTTTAAAAACAGGTACAGTACATGTAAATCTAAATATATAAAATTGCTTGTCCTGACTGACTGACTGAATGAATGACTGATTCATCATCGCAAACCGCTGAAACCTAAAGAGGTGAAATTTGGTACACAGTTAGGGTACGTCATGAAAACGCGCACTAAGAAGGGATTTTTCGAAATTCCCCCGCAGGGGGAGAGGGAGAGGATTAAGGCTTAATCTGAAAAACGGCTTCTACTGTACTATTTTAGATGCGATTTTTTGTTTTCGACTAGGTTTAGTCTTCACTGAGTACTTAGATGTATTAAATTGATAACATTTCAGACATTGTTATAAATATTTTTATATATTTCGATTTTTAAAATGTTCGAACCGTTTTAAATTCGAATTTGTTATTGCATATTGGTTCGATTATAGAACGATTATAAACGTTCCAGAAAATTGATCAAATTGAAAACAGTTCGTTTGATTCTCGGTAATTCTCATTATTCTCAGCGGTAGGTGTTATATAACAATTACTATGGTTGTTGAAATACTGAATATAAATGGGGTTTGCTTGCAAAATCCTCACGGGCAAAGCCGCGGGTAACAGCTAGTTATTCAATAAAAATATTGTATGGATAATAAGCATGTCATGTTTTAAACAGTTGTAATTTAACTTTAAAAATGATAAAATATAAATCACATTAATCAATGATAAAACATAAGTTAATAAATATTGTTTTTAGAACTGATAAATTCGAAGAATAAGGTTAATGATAACTGAATTATAATAGTGAACTTTTGTAGCTATTTCTTCCGAAGACCTTGATAATAGATAAAAGTAGATTTTTTTTATTTTTATTTGTATTGTCATTTTTATTCATTTCGAAATACATAAATAATAATTAAAAAATTTCAAAAAATAAAACAACAAATCAAGTGATGCGATAAACGGAACTAAATAGGCGCTACTAATAACGAATACAAAATATTCCTTTTGTTTTTATTATTAGTTATTAATTTAAATCTAATTATCAAAACAAAAAACTAAAAAAATATGTTCTCGCACTCTGAAATTTATTTATGATACATAAAATATTTTAACTTAAGTTTTAGACGAGAAATTTTTATAACGTAATCTATTGTAAAATTTATTATCGTTCAAATTATTAATTAAAAATATTTTATTGTTAATTTTACAATATGTCATTTATTTTCCTATTCCTTATTGCTGTCACTTAGAAATATGTAGCATTTGTATAGTCACTTTTCCTGTTCTTTTTCCCCCTATTCAGAAGTGCAAATATAAATAAAAAGTATAATAATAGTCTAAATTTAGTCATATATTTCATTTTTTATACTATTAACAGTTAATAGTTTGTTTTATATAATACAGTAATAATACAGTAAAACATGTCTGAAAGAGAACGTGAATAAAACGGAAAAAAAATAGTACCGTGCCATTCCAATTTACACAGGTTTTTCTGTATAAATATAATTACGGTATAATAATGTGTTTAATTTTATTTTATTAATATTAAATTAAAATTTCTTTTATTAACTTATAAAAAGAATTGATTATATAACCGTAACTATTAATTTTATTTAATCTTTACCTTGTATCTTATCAAGTTTTCATTTTTTAAGATTAGGATTTATTTAATATCATTATTTTATATCTTTGTCTAATGTTTTTTAATCTTTCATAACTAAATATTTAGGACAATAGTTCAATTCCTTGTTTTGATAAAACGATTTCTAAGTGAACTCGGTTTTACTTTCTCACTGTAAAAATACAATAAATGTAAACATACTTTCTAAAGTTGCATTATAAAACAGTTAAGGCGGTTGTAATTATTTATAATTAAAATATTACAAAATATAAAATATTCCGAATAAATTACTTTATTTTAATAATTTTATTGACGTAAATTAATATAAATATCAAAATATGTAAGGGTTTTCTGCAAATTATCCAATTTAAGAAGGTTAAAATTGGAACATTCGTTCTCTCTTTTCAATGACACTTGAAATATATTGTTTCTATAGTGAAGGAAATATTTACTATTTGATCATAGAAGCTATCTTACGTATCACATTTGATTATTATCTGCTTTTTT